GCTAATGGGGCTTCAGGAGGGAAGAGACCTCAGAAGATCTGTTATGAGTCCCTCTTGCCCTCCCGCTTCCCTGGGGCCAGACTAGAACCAGAAACCCCCTTTGCCCTCCCCTTCACCCCAAAACACCCCCTCCAGTGCCCTGCAGCATCCTCCTAACGGGGCAAAGACCCATTGCCCCACAGTCAGTGACACCCTAAAAACCCGGGCCTGGAAACAGAGCATCTCACAGCACTGTGGGGCAGCCCCAAAGGGTACATCTTCTCCCCACTGCACAGAGGCCTCACAAGGGCACCGGGGCTGAGATTTCTGAAGGGCCAGTGGTTGGGGTGCCGCTCAGCTGCGAGGGGGCATGCCCCAAACTGCCGGGGCACGGCCAGAGCATCCCCTCTTGACGGGAGCCGGGCCTCGGGCTCCCCCCGAGGGAATTATGAAATTACACTCCATAAAGCACCTCTCCAAGGCCTGACCCCATGCCCCCCCCAGGGACCAATTTGTCCTTCTCTGTAATAAGAACCTAATTAAATTAGCCAAGCCGCCTCACAGAGCCCTTAAATTAGCCATGGTGACGAAGGCCCTCGCTGACAACCTGCTGCTGGATTGCTCCGCACTCGCTGTGCTGTGGGGTCTAGGAATAGGCCCTGGGGGGGGATCCTGCTCCCAGCCCTCTGGAAAGGTGGGAGACTGCGGCAGGGCAGTTTGGAAGTGGGGCAGGGGTGCAAAGAGGGGTGCAGGGAGCAGGACACGTATGGTGGGGGGCTGTGTGGGGTGCTGGCTGGTGGTCTCCAGGAGCACAGCACACACAGATGGGGGGACGGAGTGGAGGGGAGGGACAGACCCAGCGGTGGCTAGCACTAGTCTAATGTGGCATTGGAAAGCTGGGGTGCAGGGCAGGGAGTCCATCTTGGCTGGGAGCACTGGGTTAATGGGTGTTGCAGTGATGGAGAGGGTGGGGAAGGGGGGCCCAGCCTGGCAGGGCGCCGGGGTGGGGGTGGTGAGCCCAGACTGGGACGGCAGACGCACTGGGGCAGCGGCAGCCTGCAAGGCCCCTCGGTGGCTGGACGC